AGGCAATTTTGCAGACACTAAATAGATCTATAAGAAATTAAGTCTTCATGAATCTGAATTAATATTTTGTTTGATGAACTGCGCTATCTAATGATTATTTCCTTTTCAAATTGCCATGTTTTCATGAAAGATTCAAAAAACTAACAGCATATTTCCTCTACTAATAAAAAGGCATCATTGTTTTAAGAAACACGTGAAAATATGACGTGCATGCGTCACCTGTTTGCTCATCATTTTTGACAAACTTATGTATATATATATATATATTTTTGTTGATTTGAATTTGGAGTAGAAAACAAACATAATTCAGTTGTTTTATGTTTTATCATGTTGTTGCCTTTTTTCCAGAAATATGTACACATTTATTGAATTTGCACCCCTATATTGCAACATCCATTCGCAAAAAGTTCTGAGTTCTTTTTTTTTCCAAAATAGCTACCGCTACCGTAATGCCTCATTAAAATGCAAAAATTTAATTGTTGGACTTCTTAATGATGTCTGCAGCACATATTGGCACCCTTACTAACATACATAGAGATCATTAAAATTTTTGTTAATAATATCGCATCATCGGATGCATTTTTGTAGAAATGGATTTCAATAGAAATAATTTTAATGAGGTGCCCAATTTTCACACGAAATATCGGTTTCTTGAAATCAAATGATGAAGCATCGATGAGTAAGATAAGTTTTACGAAGCATCAAATAGAGAAGCATAAAGTGTACTGTCATTTCTGATGTTTAGCTTGATGAAATAAAAAGAAGATTGATTTATTTCAGAAATCTGGAAATTTTGAAATTTTCGCCACTTGCACGTCTGTTTCCAATCTTAGATCCCAACTGAATCGTATCTGCCAACATCATGCCAGTTTCCAATGCTGGAAACTTTTGTTAATTTGAGAACTACTTATTTATATTTAGGGGGTAACGAGTCTTAATAAGTTGTGCAACTTGATCACCATTCTAAGCAATTATGTCTTCCGGATTCAAATTGCTTCGAACGTCCGATCGGGTCTCCATTGCGACGAAATATAAGACAAATGGGGAGTTTCGAGATATAATCAATTTTCCCTCAAATATGGCTATTAGATTATTGAAACAATCTCCAAAATAACTTTCTTATAAATGTTGTATGAACTTTTCGGTTGTATCATTATTTCTTAGAAAGATATAGATAGCCCCATTGTTGCAGAAAAATTGACTTTCTTAAAAAAGATTAGAAAAATGCAACGTTTGATTCTTCAATTTATTTTATCATCATACTCATTCATGCTTTTTATCATTAAAATGATGATCGAAGAAAAATGATCAATTTCAGTAAGGTATCAAGCCAATTTATTTTTTTATATTTTCCTTAATTTCGAGATAAAATTACGGAATATCAATGAGATCAGAAGTTTTCCGCCGTCAAAATCCTCTTAAAAACATTTGTTAGAGTATGTTTTGATGATCGCGTTTCGTCGATTGCGATAGATAACGATTTTTGCTCATTGAGCCTCATTTCACGTGTGACGACGAAAAATCAAAAAAAAAAATGCTACGAGCAGTCGTCTACATTTCTTTTTCTTATGTCTTACCTATTCGTGTCATTCGAACAATGAGCTCAAAGGTAACCCGAGACTCAAATCCGCGTCAGAAGTAGGCTTTCGAGATTTTTCCACATCAATATTCGACGTGTGTGTGTGGGTTTTTTCCAGGAGAACTTTGCACACCAGACGAATGCAACAAGTTGCTCCCATCACCGCTCATACATCTTCATTTGATTGCCTTCTAATTGACGTACGACGCTTTTTACTGCGATATTTAGAAAATCGCTGACACGTTGTTTACCTCAAAAAATAATTACAAGGCTCTCTCCTTACATTGATGGGATTTAAAATCTACTTGCTATTAATCCATATTCTGTTTTGCTGAAACAAATCAGCGAGAATGTTCAATTTATTTTTCTTCTTCGCGAAAAATCCATTCATCATATTTTACATTACGCGCACCCGATGTCCAATGACGACAAACACTCCATCGAGTTTCGGAAAAATTTTTGCCATTTTTTGGTATGCTGGTTGGCAAAATTACAAAAAAGGTATCCCACCCCCCTTCTCGACGAACAAGATAGATCAAATCAGTTCCACTTAGCCAAATTGGAGATCTAAATGTACTTTGAGAATTCTGTTATACTGAAAGTACATCAATCGGAATGAATTCCGAAGCTCTCTCATTCTCAACATTAATTGTGATGCAATAATTTTGAAATATGCATTTTTCCAGTAAAAATTTAAAATTAATATTGTAGTTCTATGAAAAAAGGAAATATGTGTAATTAATGTGAGAACCTATAATTTTGATCTGAGCGGTGTTCCTCAAAATAGAGAGTTTCATCTAGAACTGATTTGATTTCTGGACAGATATTGACATATTCGAAGCGACGACGTCCGCAGACAAATTTCGACTTAAATGATTCCTTCACAATTATGCTAGAGGTCTCGTCTGCAAATGGCGGCGCATTGTTTATCTCGTTTTATTTTTAACTTTTTGAAATTAAACGCAAGCATTCTCATTTCCGCGTTTTGTTTTGTGGTTTACCTTAAAAATGGTGCGTAATTAAAAAAATGAATTCCATCCAGAAACTTGCTCAAGTAAGTGGTATAATTGAACAAGTGTTCTTCAAAACTTAGCTTGAAGAACTCTTCAAAATAAATTCAATTTCAAATTGGCTGAATTCAATTTTAAAACTTTCCTAATGTTTGAAGTTGCCTGCAATCTAATAATGATTTCACAAGACGAACTAAACAATAAATCATTACCGCATAATAAAAATCGTAAAAAATAATATGTTTGATCTAAAAAATTTATAGTTATCCCCTAGACAAAGTTTATTTCCATATTACATTAATGTCCATTTGAATGATGAATTGCTTGTCAGCACTCAATTTTTGAAGATTCAATTTTTTCGTTGTTATGCCTCAAATGTCGCAGATTTATCTTTTAATATTTTTTGGTGTAACATAATACATGTCTGATGAAAACTTTTGTGAACACACGTTCCTTTGAGCAGAAGAAAATCAAAAAAACACGTTTTTTTTGAGTAGAAGGAAAATCAAAAAAATCTTTTTGACTTCTCGTGATCTTCCGGTGCTTCTGATGTAAAAAAAATGATCTAATTGATTTCAAAAATAGAGCAAGAAGTGAATGTGCCATGTTAGATGAGGGTATTGCAATTTTACATTAAGTCCTTCATTTTGCAAACAAATAATCAAACTGTTCTTTTTTTTCAAAATACCCTCAAAGATTCGCAAATTTTCCCAATTTGAAGAACACCATTTTTCAGTTAAAAAATGGCATTATTATAATTGAAGCTGCGCCAAAGGCTAATATTTGTTAAAAATGCAAATTTCCACATTATTTTATTCTCTTTTTGAGCTTTGGTATATTTTTACGTCAAGAAATAATAACTAAAGATCCTTCAATCCGGAATTTCATTTTACTGATGAATGTTGCGCTCATTTTTGCAAACATCTCTCCCAGATTCTTGAATTTTTCTTCTCCGACATAACCTTTCAAACGTGCCAATTTTTTTCATATTATTAATGATTTGGGAGAGAATCGTTTGCAAGTTTTCTTTCATATCTTCTCAAAAAAGAAATTCGTATCCTTATGCATATCTCACAATTATGTTTTTCGTTGCAACTCAATTTTGCACTCCTCCCACAAAAACGTGCATAGGCGGAAAAAAGCACCAAGAGCTCGAAACCACGCCCATGATTCTTCTTGAGAGGAGAAGAAATAATTTGACTAATGCCAGCGTGGTATAAAAGGCGTGACTGAGTCGTGATAGTGGTCCGGCATATTTTATTCGTCGGTGAGCTGCTGCTACTGCTGCTGCAGCTCCCCATTCAATCGTTTTTTATCAAGGTATTAAAGACCGACGAAACGTGCAACACACCTAATTCTTTTTGCACACCAATTCTCTGCTGGGGACCGCCATCTAGCTAAATGGTCCGCGATATGTTTTTGCCAGAAATTGAAAAAATCGCTCTATGAACTCGTTTGCAAACCATCAGCTGACTTTTTGAAATTCCATTTGACTTCCCAAGAAAATATTCTTTTTGCTCTAATTAATCTTTTTTCTCACTTCTTCTAAACAAATTGAATTGTCGCCGGCAAGAATCCTTCTCACATTTATGCATATCGCATTTGCAACATTTTTCGTGAAATTTTTTCGGTGGCATGTCAAGGGCATGCAATTCTCAAAAATCAGGAATATAGAAAAAAAAAGATCATTCGTCATTAGAGATGTCTGACGCACCTAAAAATTCTTCCGGGATCTCAATCCTCCTCCTCTCCGTCAGGCCTAGTTCCTAATTTTTGAGCAAATTTAAAATTCGTGGATATGGTAGTTTGCCAGACACTAGAGTATTCCCGCATAAAATTTCTCTTCTGCAACAGATTACTGTAATCATGAAGATTTTGAAGCAAGCCTACATTATTATCAGCCCAATTTCAAGAATATCAGCAATGTCGAAATTTTCATCTCTTTGCGATGACGTAAATTCCGAGACCAGTCAGAAAAAAGAAGTGTTGGCAAATTTTGTGTAATTCGGAAGTTGATCAACAACAACAAAGTGTCTCTTTCCCTAGCGGATATTCTTGTTTTCAACTCATAACAAAAGAAGCAAGATCGCATGGAATTTTTTTTGGAACCCAGAAAAAAAAACATTCGACATTTCCAATTCATTCAAGTTTTCCTTTCCAGAATGTTTCATTAGGTCTCAAAGCGGTTTTGTAGAAATTTCAACAACTTAATGCAAAGAACGAATAGGCTCACGCCTTTTTTCGTTAATTACTTGTAATACCACCATTTCCCGTTTTGTTGTCTACACCGCTTCTATGGAATTGCCATGATTCAAGCGTTTCGAAATGCATTGCTCCTTTTTGTTTTGTTTTTTTTTGCTTTCGCCTATTCTCACAATTTTCAGCAAACAAATCGAGTAACCTGAATCACCATGGGCGCTGATAATAGCAAATGTCCCCATCAGACATTGGCTGAGAAGCGCTACAAAATCGAGAGACCGAAAACCAAAAAAGGTAACATTATCCCACACACTTGAACCAGATTGAATATTAATGAAGTGCTATACACGTTTTCCAAGAAACATTGCGTTGGTTGAAATAATTGACGGCACAATTTTAGCTTCAGTGTCTTCTGGAAGCGCATCGGAGCGCAGCACTCTCAATCATAGTTCGGATGAATCACGCAGTATGCGAATGACCGTTTCCACCGGCGATGTGAGCACCGAAAACGACAATCGCAAAATTTCGTGAGTCCCATCTATTATTCTTTGAACCTTGGCTCATTTGAATCAACACTGCCATCCAATTCAATTCGATGCGCGCAAATTCTTTAGTAGCGCCATTAAATACCGACGACGTGTTGATTATTCACGTCGTTTTTGTCTCTTCGTCACACCGAAAATAAAACGATTCGGTGTTTCAGACTTGTCGAAAATGAGCAAACGCCGACGAAGCCAAAACAAAAACATTTTTTGACGAGAAGGGAAAGAATTCTGCTCGAGCAGAGTTGGAGAAAAACTCGAAAGGTTTGCCTTCATTCTGTCTCTGAAGTGCAACTTGATTTTCAGACTGGCGCCGATCATGTCGGCTCGAAAATCTTCTTCATGGTTCTTACTGCTCAACCGGATATCAAGGCAATATTTGGACTAGAGAAAATTCCTCTTGGCCGTCTGAAGTATGATCCACGATTCAGACAACATTCATTGGGTACGATACTCACTACAAATCATCATTGAAGAATTTCCTTATTGCAGTTTACACCAAGACATTGGACTTTGTAATAAGGAACATCGACTATCCTGTTAAAATCGAGACGTACTTTGAGGTTGAGCTTACTTACTCGAATACCCTTCTTCTCACCATCTTATTTATAGAATCTTGGTCGCCGCCATGTCGCCATGCAGGGAAGAGGGTTTGAGCCGGGATACTGGGAGACATTTGCGGAATGCATGACACAAGCGGCTGTTGAATGGGAAGCGAATCGTCAGCGTCCGACACTTGGTGCATGGCGGAAATTGGTGAATATTTAATCTATGCATTCAATCATACAGCATGAATTTAATATTATTAGTTTCATTTCCAAAACTTCATCGTCAATCATCTACGTTTCAGATCTCGTGCATCATTTCATTCATGCGACGTGGATTCGATGAGGAGAAGGGTAAGAAAAGAAGTTTCGCTTATGGTGGCAGCGGATACACGGCGAAACCACGACGCTCAATTTCACCGCTTCCTGGCAATGCGAACTGACATCATTACATGCTTTAATTATAATAATTATATGTACAATCAATATCAATAATGTTGTTTCTTGGAAAGAACTTGTCGATCTTTTCTCGAAATCTCTCTTCCCGCCCCCAATCTCTCCCCCCTCGAAGAAACTATCTTACAATTGTGAATTTTCAAAACCCAAACGAGCTACCAACATATACGTTTTAATATATCGTTGATTAAAGTTTGCTATCTATCTCCACTTGCAGTTGTTTTTCTTTAAAATCTTTATGTATAAAGTTTTTAATATATTGAATTACATGGAAAAAGAAAAGCTTGAAAGCTCTCAATTCTGTGAAATATTAAAAATCACGTTGGGCATTTTCTGGTGAATGCCGCCAACGTGTTTCGCCTTCATCTCATACTTCCGAAGAGAAGTTTCAAATCTTATCACTCGAATGTTTGCCAATCGACCACTTTTCGTTCGAAGATTTATCTGTTAATTTTTGGTCCAAAATGACATTGACACCATGCGATGTCTTTTTCATGATACACATGACGTCGCGCAATTTTTTCAAGGCAACAATAACCAATATCTCTTCAAAATAAATTGTGTTTGCAGAACCCATTAAGTGGAATATTATTTTCCAAACTACATACAATCAAATAGTTTTGTATTCAAAAGACACAAAAGCATCTATGATTGAGAAATCAGAGGGTTCATTGACTATGTCGTAGATGGCTTCTCCGTTTCATTAAAATGCCATTTCAGTTAATGGCTCACCATCTTGATTTATTTAAATGGATAGAATCACAATATATTTAAAAATAGAAGGCCATCTTGAATATTAAACATAGATAGCTTAAAAATTGGATTGTACTAAAATAGGGATGCCCGAAAAAAAAAACATCCACGAATAAATTGCTGGAAATATTATGTGATACACTTTGGAATATAAAAAACGTTTACCGCACGCGCATAAAATGTACAACGCTTTTCAACTAGAGTGTGCTTTTCTAGGAAAAGCAATAACATTATGTTTCTATAATTATAGTAAATAAGACTCTTATATTAGACAACATTTATTTCATTTAATCAATATGCAATGGTTTATTTTTCCTGTTTTTTTTTTTTCACAATCAATATGCCAAACGGTTGCGTCCTTCTTCAAAGCGATTCAACCGGACCAATGTGCGCAAACGCGCTCCACTGCTTATCTAATTCAATTGAAGGTCGCTCTTTTCAATAAACATTTTGTTCTTTTGCAAATATTCCATTTTTCCATTAAATGAGTGAAACTACTTATTTTCAAATTTCCGCCAATATAGAAATGTCAATTTTTTATTTCGTAATCATCTTTCAATTATTAACGTAATTATGAATTTCAGAGCATGTCGCTTCGATCGCATCCGTATCAGAGCAGCCGACGCGGTGAGATCCCGACGTCGTACCGAGCAATGCTCATTGCTTTGACAACAAAATCGAATAGCTTATCGGGAGCTGACAAAAAACTATACGGATGCTGCAAGAGTCGCCAAATGGAGTACATTCAAAATAGGTTGCATGTGACAAAAAAACACCAAGAGCAAATCGATCAATTGTCAAAAATTGCCAAGACCAGATGGGAATTCGACGCTGTCGAACTGTTAAAGGATATTCTTCACGAAATTCGAAACTCAGAGTTTTCTCTCATCCGAGTCAGTGAGCCGGTACAAGCGTTTCGGCGAGAGAAACTTCTATTGGATATGGTTGAGAAATATCGTGAACGTTACATTCGACTATTTCCGAACAAAGCGAACGAAGATCATGACGAAATCGTTCCAGAGGATCCTTTCAACGTAATAATCATGATTTGTTTGCTTCATTTCTCATTCAATTCTTATTTGCAGGCTCGCTTCGGAACCCGACCGTTGTGAATTAATACAGTCAAAACTCGCAATATTCCCATTTGTCCAAACTGATTACGGTGGCTCGATTAAACGTGACCTGTAGGTACCCTTATTAGATCTCACCTCCTAGTAATAATAAGTACGAAATTGTTGATTTGATTTAATTTAATTGCTTAAAATTGCCACAAAAATATTATTTTTCTCTCTCATCTTCCAATTTTTTAGTTGTGTGTTGTTTATTAAGTAAAGATAAAGCAAATAGAAGCAAAGGGAATTATTTTCGAATACAAATGAATTCGACAATATATAACCGCGGAATTTATTTAAAGATAGTGCCGCGCGAATGGATGGTCCTTGCCGAGATAGGTAATAAGTCCAGCATAGGTGAGAATGTAGAAGATCTTGAACAAGAAGAAGAACATTGTGATGCAGTAGAGGCTTTCCGTGACACTGTTGTACATTTTTGTAGTCGATTAATATATGATAAACCCGAAGAAAGGGGGGATTTGTCAAATTTCTTAGTGTCTTAGAAGAAATGGAGCATTTCGGTGCGGACGCGACCGAAAAAATCAACGCCAATCAAAAATGCAATTACCTGAAATGAAAATAGAAAACGATATCTAGTGCTTTGAGAGATTGCCTGACTTCAATAATAAAAAGAATGGCGATGATTCCGAAGATTGATGATGAATGAATACTATTTTCACGATACAAGTATTCAATACAGCCCTGAAATTTTGAATATCGGAAGAAATAATGTAAGAATGACTAATTTTCTTGAAAAAGCTATTTATTTAAAATGAATACACCGGCATGTCTATCAAATGTGCTTTGATTCATTCGCATGGAAATTCCGCGCGATTTTGGTCCCTTGGGGAAGCAAATATGATGATTTTGGGAATTGTTAACTTCAAAACAACTATGAGTAATTTGAACGCGTTCGTTAATTGTTTTGCAAATCATTAAATGAACATTGTTCAATTTTTTGACCAGAGTACTGTAGGTGGATGTCATTCAAGAATATAGCGAAAGTCATCACTGATAAATGACATTTTGAAAAATTGCTTACTTTTTGGCCTTGGATTGAAATCACGCCCGCGCACATCATTTTATAAAGAGATTTCAATACAAAAAGGACGCAAACAGGTGCGTCCCATCATGATAGGACCTAGAACATGTTTCCTAACCAACAAAAGTCTAATTTAAGCGAGAGTGGACACGTCAAAATGCAACAAGATCAAATCGTGAAATCATTTTTGTTTAAATTTGCGTATATATATGTATTTTAAAAAATTATTATCTATTTGCGAACAAAAAAAATTTGGTTCTAAATCCGTAAAAACATTTTTTTTGACTATGTTATTACATGGATTTATGAACTTTTAAAATTTTTTTTGTATGCTTGGTATAAGAATCGAACAATTTTTTTCAATTAAACACTGATTCATATTGTCGAGAATTCTGAAAAAACAATTTGAGTCATTGGGTCTCTTGGGGCAATGTAAATTCTGTTTTCGAGAAAATTTTGCTTCAAAACAATTATGAATAATCTGATCTATTTGATCGTAACGCGAATAGAAACTCAGAAAAGGAATACCGAAAATGGGATGGAATTAGAAAAATTATTTTGGCGACGTACTTCCATTTTGTTGAAAGAAATTACCTTTATTAAGAAAATACTAGTAAAAAATATTGTTTTAGAATAAATCGTCGTCTGAGGTGATCGAATCGCACAACCAGAAACCAACAATAATACCAACAACCTACAATTACGATATTCATGCAAAGCCACTATACCACAATCACCTGTATTAAAGCGAAAAAGATTACGGTCCAAGCAACGATTTTAAAATGCGATGTGAGCTCTTGAAATGATTCGGCGATTTTCGCGTAGCAACCCTGAAATAGCCTGTGCACAACACTGCTTCGAATCAACACAGCCCCACAATAATTATGAACATCCCCCATGTGGTTTCATTATGGCGATTTATTACTTACGTGTGGATGTCTCATGATTTTGTTGCACGATGGTCGAAGTCGGTTATGCTCATCCAAAGGACAACACGCCGGTGGGAAAAGATATCGGCCTTTTGTCATATGATACCATCCAGAATTGTTGAATTCGCCGATTTTCGAATCAACTCCGCAACAAGATTTCTGGAAAACCGGCGATTATTTTTTCTTCAATTATTGATAAGGAAAAAAAAAGATATGTATTTTACAAATTTACAAAAAAAAATTATTGAAAACCTCTATCATGATTTTGTCCCAAGCGGTTTTCACAAGCATGCCATCTTGCATTTCCTTGCTTTTCACTCCCGAGTCCGTTCCATTGTACATTTTCAAAGTTGAATGCAGCATTTCTCGGAAATCCTTCTCGAACTGCAATAAAATTGAATTGTTGTGCACTGAAAAATTTTATACCATATGGCTGTGTAGGAATGCATAAATAGTTGCAGCGATTTCAACCGCAAGAATGAGCATAAGGCAAGAAGCATACTGTAACAATTGTTATTCAATTTGCAATTATATTGTAGATAAAGCTTACACAACACAATAAAGGTCTCCATTCTTTTGCGGCGCCGCAACAACCCAAAAATGCAACGAAAATGACGATCAAACCTCCACCAAGAAGAAGGTATCCAATTTGCCGGACTGCTGTCGGCTTGGTTGCCTCAATATTTTATATTCTGGGCATTATTTTTGAACTAGATGAACTCACGAGATCTCTTAAACCAGCATCCTGATCATATCCTTGCACTTTAGCCGTTGCCATTGCAAGATTATCAATCGCATATTTGTCAAGAACAAGCCACACTCCGATTCCTACGCATATTATACCGCAAATCTGAAAACGAATCGAGTCACAACACATGTCATTATTGATGCTGAAAGTCAGCTTCTTCTCTCTTATCTTGATGAATGTTCGTGACAAGATGGATAAGTGGGAAAATAATTGGAGTCAAAAGCGCTACTAAAAATAAATTGCGGGGCGTTTGAAGAAGATAGATGGGATCTCATATGGCGTAGTTATTTATTAAACTCTTACTTTGCCATCAAAACTATTCGAATGATTCAATTTTGATGAAAATTTTAATACTTATTGTGAAGCTCGACAAATTCTTTTAGTGTAAGAAATAGTTTTGTTGCCTCCTCTTTCTTCTTGGCGTTATATGAAAATTTCTGTGGCTAATTATGCTCATTGCGTGACCAAAACTATAATTCTCCCAAATATGCACGAAATGGTCCCATCCCGACTCTTTCAATAGCAACGTTTGCCTGTGAAACCCTATAAATCATTTGCGGTAGTTTAAAGCGTGCTCCCAAATGGCTAGCGACATTCTTTACACATCCGGCATTTCGGCAGTTAAACAGCGGCTCGCATCAATCAGTTTCGCGCATCAAAATAAATTGGATTATGTATTTATTCGTGTCGGAGGGCGGCCACTCACCAGAAACACTAGATTGAATATGAACAACGAGAACTTTAACGCTCGTGCAGTGCAGCTCAGCGGCATGACAGCAAACTGAAAACAAATGAAGTGATTGGCAAAGAACAGCGATACCAATAAAAAGACCGAACATTGGTGACAGGGAGGGCAGGGCAGGTGTTCGTGTTTGAAACCAAACCCATGCACAATAATACTTAAAAACGACATTGAGTTCAGCATTTGGCTGGAACGAAGAATGCGGATGGCAATGCAGACGTGAAATTGAATATGAAAAATGACGAGGACGTTTCAAACAAATTATGAAGCTAAAATGGGGTCACGTATATTGTATTTCAAATAAGTAAATGTTGAAAATTAATCAAAATAAATGAAACCAAAAGTTCGACGATTTTGTTGATTTTTTCAGAACAAGTGGCATCAGCTTTCAAACTAGAAAATTTTAAAATTTGTCTTAAAATAAAAAAAGTTTCAATTATGACGATTCAACAAATTGTATAGAGATTGTGGAAAACCTAGCTAGAAATATGCTCAAATTACCAAAACGTGAAAATAATACTCTTAAATGGTTTTTGGCGTTCAAAAATTGAATCTTACTGAATGTCAGGGCGAATATGGATATTCGAATATTATTTGTTCTTGTGAGGCAAAATGATGTGATGGCAATATTTCGAACTTCTGAGGAAAATCAATATTTCTTAAATTATGCATGTGCTCTAAAGCATTTATTTAATGCAAATTCTCAGACAGAACTTGGGAGCTATCAAATTTCAAACTACAAATCATCCGAACGTTTAAAGCACAAGAATCGAACATTTTCGTAGCATGTTTCTTGAAAAAAATTGTGCGACATTGTCTTCAAATCAAATTGAGAGTCGCTGGTGGCAGCAAAAAAGAAAAGTTTCGACAGAGATTTCGACGCCGTTAGCATGTGTCGACAATTTGGGAGATGAGCAGTAAAACGCGACATTGAGCATCTCCTAAACTATGCGATTCGGAAAGTGCTGACGACAACAACGACACAAAAAGACGATGTAGTGGTCCGCCGGATCACTACAATTAGAGAACGCGCGCTGCATTGAGACGCCGCTGCGTCGGAGTCAAAGAGTAACAACTGTTGTTAACTCGTTTTACTGGTGCCCACATATATCAAAATGTATCGTTTACTTGAAATTTCATTGAAGTTACAATACACGGCCAATACATATTTCAAATTGTTTGAAAAATAATTTCAGCCGGATATCATTTGTTTTATTTTCACACCAATAGAATCATTTTTCAACAGCACTCTACCATTGAGGTTATCAATCAATCAAACCCACGGGATTTCGGACATTGCCGATCGTTGCTCATCCAAACATTCGGTTTTCGGTGTATCTCTCGACACCAATAACTTTCAACGTGAAATTATATCATATAAGTTTTTAAAAGAAAATATAACTAATAATTCAACAAAAAAGTGCAAAAATGATAATGCGATCAAATAAAACCAATTTTTTGTTTTTATCAAAATATATTTCTATTTCGCCTAATGAAAATCTTTAAAAGCATGTTTGAAGGTGTAGCTAAGCTTCTCTCAAAATTTGAATAATTTGTTTGAACATTATGTTATTTTTATTTGGACATATTTATATTGGCAAGAGAAAATTTCCAATATCTCGAAATTTTGTTTATTTCCGTTTTTCTCTTTCAATAACAACGATTTTGGAAAACTAATTTGTTCTTTCGGAACGCATATTTTTAAATTGACCAAAAAATAGAAACTGTTTTAAACTGACAAAAATTAAATGAAAATAATTTCCCAAAAGTTTTCAGACAAAGGGTTTAACCGTTTTTTTTTGTCTTTAGCACAATTACAGTGAGGTTAACTTTATTATCACCAGGTTAGAGGAACTTTTATTAATTTGCACCACAGTCTTGCAGCAAGTAGACATAAAACTAATTTTTTACAACCAATTCATTTAGTGATATTTCTGAAATTTGTAACACCATTTTTTATTCAAGTATTCACAGGATATTTGTCGATTCACAATACTTATTCAATCATTTCTTGCCATGGACTACATATTTTGGACACAGGATTAGTTGCAATACAGTATGCATACATCATTTTCATTGTTGCTCTACTTATTCGCCTCAGCAACTATTTGCAAAATGTAAATGAACAAATTGATGATGTCGAGGTACAAGGCAACGCAGGCACTGATGTATTCTTCCGGCGAGAATCTTCGCATAACCATGTCTAAGTCAATGACGAGCATAATGACGAAGACCCCAGCTCCGCAAATATTGATGATCAAGTGGAATGCTGGAGACATGGTGACGAGCTGAAAATCAACATCAAGATCGAAAAGGTGGATTAGAGTTACTTGGAAAAGAGAGGCAATTAGAAGAACGCTCAACAAGGATCCTCCAACGGCATATCCAGATGAGAAATCACGTTTACTTTGAAGAGTAAATATGAAGAGGCCGGTGACGACAAGACCAGTAATGATTGCGGCTTCCAAAATCACCTTAGCATCGAAGAAGACAACTAAAAATTATATTTTTCAAGATTAAAAAAAAAGTTGGCAAAAAATCTTATTTTTTATATTCTATATATTCAAGGAACTAACGAAAATGACACGTTCATCTTTTCAAGCTTTTGAGTTACTTCGTCTGATCAAATCATCTAAGATAAACATAATTAATAGTTAAATTTCAGAATTTTTCTATAACATTATGAGAAACATTTTTAACCACATATCCTATTTCAGTATCGGAAACAATTTTCACCAGCAGGATATCTGTTATCAACTATTATTTAGTTTCGCTTAATAAAAAATTAAAATTAAAAAACATTATATGAATTGAAATTTACTAATTTTCTTTAACATGCGTTTTTTTTCACAATGTTTTCTCTAGATTATTGGATTATTCCGAAAATTGATATGCCTTCAAAGTTTGAAATCCTCTGTGGACACGTGTTTCTACTTGCTCGTAATACTTCGGAGCATTCAGACATACATAAAACACATTTTAATGTTCACCTATTAAAATCTATGAACCACTTACTACAACATCCAAGTGTAATTGCCTGAACGGTCGTAAACGCTGCCAACAGCACGTAGTTGATCGGAACATCACGAGATTTAATATGGAGGGCGATGATCAAGGCAATCGAGCCAAACAAATTCGGGAACACTATCCATGAGCTGCAATAAATTCAAATATTGTTGACAAAGATTGCATAATTCAAGTGGAAAAAAGGTCGCTGGAAAAATTCCCATTTTGGCACAACCGCACATTCGCACATTCAAAAAAAAATTACTCTCATAAATCCGTCGCTGGCTCTTGGTAACGCACAATTCCCACTATTAAATCTCGACGCCTTTTTTTTCACCGCCTGCCTTCAATTTATGCAGTTGGGACGACAAAAAGAAGATGGTGGTCTTAATTTAAGTCACATGTGCCTTCGTGTATGTGTTGCCGCAAAAAAAAACGTACATACTTCCAATTTGTGGAAAAGGTGTTTCTTTGAGATGCACACAAAACGTTTCTTGTCCATTTAAATTTTTCCAATTCCGTTTACTTTGTTAGTCTTCCTCGTTTACCCAAAATCGTTTTGCCTTCAAATCTTCTCTACCCTTCATTTTCTAGTTATTAATGTTGCATCCAAGAATCCCAAACAGGCCCCCATTAAAATTTTAAGTATGTTTCTTCAAAAATTGATGATTTTCAAGATGGCCAAGTTTTCAATTAGGTTTACTTTTTCTCGAAGAAACTCGACAGAGGAACTTTCTTGAAAACAAAAGTTTTTGTGCTTGCTACTGAAAAAAAAACTTTCATTTGGCGAACTTCGTTAGTAAAGTTCGCCGTGTTTCTTTTACGTCGAACTTTTCAGCTTAAAAGTTTGGTTTTGATGGGTAAACACGGTCGTTAATTCTAAAGCTGGGCCATCAAGTGGGTCGACTTCCGGTGTGCTACGCTATACTGAAAAAGGCCATGGCAGTTCGCCTCAAGATTTGTTAAGTGTTTTCTCGTTCAGAAAATAAACAATACAAAAAAAAGAGATTTTTTGTTAATAGAGAGAGAGAGAGAGGGGGGGGGCATTCGCTTGAAAAGATGTTTATAAGCATTGCTTTCGAAGTGGAAATATGCTTTGTTGGAAGTTTTAAACAAACAATCTCAATTTTTTATTATTTTGTAGAATTTTGCGGTTTTTATTTGAATTATATCCAAATAAATTTTTTTAACGAAAAAATTCTTTTCCAAAACATCATAAGTGTGATTGTTCTATGAATTTTCCACCCCAATTTTACTCAAAAATTCTAAATTGTTCCGAAATGTACTTTGATGAGCCTTTAATATCAAATTTCCAAAATGAATTGCTGGCGATTAAAGTAAATATCGGCCACGTACATCGGAAACGGCTGAAATCGCGGTGATGAGACATGAAGCAGCATTTTATTAAGCTTTTTCGTATTGCCTCATTTCTGTTGCTGCGTGGAGAAAATCTTGAGGATTAACCACTTATTTATTGCTTTTACTTTCATGGGCAGTGTTTTTTTTTTCGGTTTCTCCAAAAAGAGAAAAAGAAAACGAAAAGCGCTGGAAGAGTTGAAAGGCAATGTAGAAAAGAGTCGAAACTCACTGAAGGTGAGGAGGTCATTTTGAATTCAGCCATTGGAATATTTATCATTCTAGCGTGACCAGCAAGCAACATTCTCAAGAAATATTATATTGATAAAAACTATTCCAAACTTGGTAATATTACGTTTAACTTTTCTTTTTCGATTTCAAATCTAAAATTTTGAATCCATTTCCCTAATGCGTTTTTGTTGTTGCATGTTTAATTGTCCATATATTTCTCCTTATTTCGTTTCAACATTCATTTCATTCGCGGTCATTTAACAACAATTGCACACAGAATCATGGTTGTAGATAAGATTCAAAGATGCGGTCGGCAAAAGTTGGAGTGGCGAGGCAGCTAGAAACAAAAAAGCCGCCGACTGGACGGAAAATATCAACATCTTCTCGCGGCACCATTCACTCTCAGCAGAGTCAACCCGAAGATACGCAAATGAAATACACAAGGTTTGCCATTTTTTTCCCACTTGATAACCATTTTCGGCCTTCTCTAGGAAAGAGCTTAAAGAATATCGCCAACTGTTCAACATGTTTGATACGGATGGATCAGGGGCGATAGGAAATGAAGAACTGAAGCAAGCGATGATTAGTATTGGGTTACACGCGAACAAAGCGGAAATCGATAACGTTATCAAGGAGGTAATTTTTGTAAAAATATATATATAAATAAGCAGCCTTAGTTCAAACTAAAGTCAAAATTATTGACAATGACAATTTCTAATAGTGATTCCACAATTCTAACCATCGATCATTAAATTTAGTATTTATTTCACTATTTTTAATAATGAGCTTAATGATATTTCGTTTACGACTTCATACTATCTTATTTCAATAAAGGTGTTGTTTTTAAATCAATATCCATTAATCACGTCTCAATATTCATCAATATATTCTTTCTTGAATTTCCGGAAATTTCTTGACATCAAAAATTAATTGCACTGCTTTGAATTCAGAGTTGACTCATTCGGGCACGTTCTGTCTCAAGTTTCAGTTTTTTTTACATAGTTCATCAAACATTTAGAATTATTCATAGTCGCTAAAAATACTACGAATTCGATATGTACTACTTTCAAAAAAATTTTTTTGGCGATTTTTCTAGAAAAAAAACTATAAAATTTATTTCTTTTTATTACACTTTACATTTCACCAATGTCGAACGACAGGTTTACACTATTTTCCGTTACACCTTTCGGATATCAAAAACTTGCCGCGAATCAAACACCTGACATGAGGAAAAGTTACTTTAAAATCTTTCCAAAGATTTAATTAGTACATTTTCAATTTTTAGGTTGATGCTGATGGAAATGGCGAAATCGATTTTGAAGAGTTTTGCGCGTGTATGAAAAAATCGCAAAATATTGTGAAATCCACTAATGAGGAGCTTATAAGGGAATGCTTTGAAATTTTTGACCAAGATCGGAATGGAATAATCACAGAGAACGAATTCAAGGTACTATTTAAAATCTCTAAATATCTATATTTTTTTCTAGTATATTGCTAAAGAGTTTGGGGATTTTGATGACGAACTCGCCGAGAAGGTGTTTCGGGAGCTTGATGTATCTGCAAACGGGCACTTGTCCGCAGATCAGGTAAAGAAAATTTAAACTACGTCGCCGTTCAAATCGTTCTTTCCAGTTTGCTACCATTGTGGAAGACTACTTATTAAGTGATCCCATTCGAATAGACATTGAAGATGATGATTATGCACCGACCAATGAGGATAAAAGACCCAATGGGAGAATCAGCCCTTACAATTTATCAAGTGTTCCCGAATAATTTTTTGTCGCTTACTTGATTTGTATATATTTTTAATAATAATAAAAAAACCTACTGTCGAGCCACCAAGTTTTTCGAGTCGGGCAAATTGTAGATCGCTGTGCAGATCCCAATTGTCATGATGAGCTGGAACGAGACAATTCCGAGAACTTTGCGCAAGAATGCTGAACAACATTGTTGGAAATTTTTTTAGATGCTTGTAGTTAATTTCGAACCCATTCTAATCGATTTGTTGGCAGAAGCAACGCATCCTGGAACCTTTCCTTCCTCATCGATCAGTCCGGTTTCAGCATGATTCGCGTTTGCCAAATCGCGTGGCCAAAAGTGTCCATTGCTGAAATATTAGCGATCAAATTAATCTTTTGGATAATATATTTCGCAATGTGTTCATTGAACAGATCAATCGATAGCGTTCGCCGTGTCACTGTTTGTCGAACTTGCAATTTGAACTACCGAAACAGTCAACATTTTTTCACAAGCGATAACATTGAAAACGTGTTCAAAATAAATCAAACCCAAAAAATTTAGTCATTAAAACTTGACACAAAAAGATCTTTTTTGGAGTCCACATTCAAGTCATCATTTATCAAAATGGTTATCAATAAATTTGTTGCAAAATTGATTCGGTGGAATTTCTACCTGTTAATTAGCGGAAAATATAGTAAATCCTAAGATGCATCATCTAATTATTTTTTCTTTATTGGAAGAACTAAGCCAATCAAAAATTTGAAAAGATTAATTCACACTCACTGGATTAAACCCCTTCTGAATTTTTATTTCAACATTTTCCTCGAAAACAAAAGTCAATGTTGAAAATGTGAGATTGAGATTTAATTGTTGCAATTACCTTTCTGTTTTTGTGTCATCTCCATCACTGTCAACGTCATCAAGCAAATTGACCTGAAAGTAAACAAAAATAAAATCGATAAAGGCATTTTATTATGCTTACTCGTTCAGTCTGGCGAGCGTATTGAACCGACGCCATTATGTTTGAATCTTTTCTGAAATCAAGAGGACTTTAACCAAAAGTTGTGTAAAAAAATCTACAACAGCTATTGATTCGGAAAAGTGGGAGAGAAAATATCTTGCGAAACATTGACCAAAAAGGGTTTCGCTTAAACAAACTGGTGGTATAAGTGGAGAGAGACGCAGGAAATGTAGTGTGCAATAGAGCGCACATATTTTCGCATTGAATTTTGCCGATAAACATTCGCGAATTATAATATAATAAAAATATGTTCACAAAATACAAGAAAAACCAAGAGATCAAGTATTCGCTGACAAAATTCGATGAATTAAAGCTTGTTCTGACGATTTTCGGAATAGTGAAAACATATTATCGCAGATTTAATCGATCCATATTCTACGTATTATTAGAAAATTCTAGACTCATCAACCTTAAAAGGATTGACAGCACAAATCTATTTGAAAACGGTGACACTCAATTGTTTCGAATTACTGGAATCACTGTGAAAGAAAAATTCAAAGATTATTGACTATCAAACATTTATTTTAAAGTTTTAATAAAAACTATCTACAAAATATTACAAAATATTACAAAATTATTAAAATAAACGGTATTGGAATAACAAAACAGACCAAGGGCTTGAACGATAAGATTTTCGCTAAAATATTGAAGATTTGAAAATATTGTAAAAAAAAGTTATTGTACATTTTCTCAAAAAAAATTGATAATTTCGTTTTCAAAAAATATCTAGCTTGGAACTATTTGCAACCGCTGGACGTTGGAAGGGCAATATCGACTTTGACCCCAGAATCTCGGTCATTCACAACTTCCATCGACGCTTCCACCTTGCATTCCATTTTGCAGCCTTTGTCGTTGATGAGCTCAATCTTAAAATTGAAAAATCCTTCAGATACTCACAAAAAACTGTTATGCATTAGATACAGCGTAGTGTTGGTTGCTTTACTCGCTACAAATCTGTTGTGTACGCACAAAACAGAAGCAAGTTTTTACTTGAAAGTGCAGACTGAAGCATTCGTAGGAATTGCTCGAATATCTGCAGGAATAGAAGCAGCATACGTGACGTGTCGAATTTTGGTATTCAACTGAATGAATCTCTCTTATAGTTACTGCTTGTTTAAGAAGTAGGAGTTTCGAGTTGTTCACACCATATTGTGCCACTAATTTGGCGTACGGGATAGTACGAAGACTTGCGAAATACAAAACAATCGATGCCACGTGTATATTTTAGTGCCTTGTTCTAACAGTTCGTTAAATTGTCAATTAAAAAATATATTACAGTAACATCATGAATATATTTTACTATCGGACTTGTTTTGTCGAATTAGCGTAAATAAATAATAAATTTCATAAATTCTTAAAAACGCATGATAAAAAGGCTTACCCATCATCAGGAAATAGGTATGAGTGAAAGATCTAAAAAAAAAGGAATCCCGAAAAAAATCAATTTGGGCGTTGTAGACACAAGATTGTGATACAGTAAAATAGTAATCGTGAAAATAAATCTTCTACCGGCAAACTACATTTTCGGACATTACCAGCAAATGGTTTACCAGCAAAACGTATAATCAAAAAAGAATAACCCTAAGAGGGCCGTTGGAATTCGTATACCGATTAGCCTGACTCGGCCCAAAAAGGACCGAGTCAGTTGATCTCCTTCGCCACGTAGAGGCTCGGTACTTGAAGGAGAGGCTCACCAGCATCAGGCCGAAACCTGATGTGGGTCATCGCCGATCCCACCATGGGGATCACACAAGGACATCCCACAACTATCATCCGAGGATAATAGAAGTAGAAGTGGTTGTGCAAGCCACGTCTGGCTGGGCCCCGGGTTTACTGGTGATATGGTAATGTGGTTTTTGTGTTCATAGCATAGCAGCTTACTACTAAGTAGTAGCAAGCCACTACAAAGTAGCAAGCTACCATGCTAAGAAGCACGGTCCATGTGCACCCGAAAGGCTGGACATATTGACATAGCTGGCCAATCCACGTCAATATAGGTCAGGTCCAGATGACATCCTAACTAGTATGGAGGACACCCGGTGAAGCAAATTTCTAAAGCATAACCATCCATAACGCCCACTAGTACTCGAAAGTACTTGAAACGGGCGTTTGGGTAGGGTTCGATTCCCGGCTACGGAATCAGGGCTGAAGGGCTTGCCAGGCCAATCACCCGAATTTAGGATACGACGGATAAGCCGTCATCCAGCCAACGCCTCAGCACTACGATTAAAAGGGACGGGAAGCCTCGGCGCATGGGGAGTAACCGACTACGGCTATGGGTGGTCGACTACGACCTAGGTAGTGCCGACTACGGCGGGTTTAGAAGTTAGGGATACTACAGGGTGTCATTTAAGTTCCCGCACAAAAGTTTGACGCCATGAAGAGATTGACTGTCGCACTTTTTGTGCACCAATACAATTTATTTTTGTTAAATAAGGTGTATTTTACTTATTTCCCAAGTTTCACCTCATTCGGATGTGTTTCCGAGAAATGGCGAAGGCTAACATCCATCGCGCTTCCATTATCGAACTTCATAAGCAAAATGTGAGCCCGAGAGACATCATTCAACGGGTCGGTGTGCTTCGTAGAACGGTTTGCGACACCATCAAACGATTCAAGTAGCTAAATACGACCAGTGTCCGTCCCAGACAAGGAAGACTCGTCTCAGTAACCACTCCTCAGAAGATCAACGCCGTTAAATCGAGGATCAGGCGAAACCCACACAGGAGCATGAGAAAGATGGCGTCAGACATGGGAATGAGCATCTTTGCTATGGAACAAATCGTCAAAACAAAGCTTGTACTGACCCCATATCGTGTCCAAAAAGCGGCAATTCTATCGGCCGTCAACAAGCAGAGACGCTTCGAAAAAGCAAAACGACTTCTTGCTCGCACGCGGTCTGGAGAACACCTCGTCACTGTCTTCTCCGACGAGAAGCTGTTCAGTGTGGAGGCGGCATTCAACTCACAAAACCATTGAGTACTTGGCCAAACATCCCAGCAAGCTTCTGAGAAAGGAAGAACATATCATCCAGCCTCACATCCTGCCAGTGTGATGGCTTTCGGTGCCATCTGCTCAACCGGGAAGTGCTACCTGGTTTTCGTGGATCAGATGGTGAAAATGAACAAAGAAGTCTACGTTCGGGACATTTTGGAGAAGCATGTGATGCCCTGGACCCAAACGCATTTCGGTGGGCAGAAATGGGTCTTTCAACAGGACGGAGCACCCGCCCCTACTGCCAAAACTACTCAGGAGTGGTGCCAGACCCATTTTCCCGACTTTATCAAGTCATCCGAATGGCCTGATTGCTCCCCAGACCTGAACCCGCTTGACTTTTCCGTGATGGGGTCTTGCAGGAGAAGGTCAACGCAAAACCCAACTCAAGTGTAGAGGCTCTGAAGAAGACATTACTGGCGGAATGGGACAATCTTTCCATCGACTACCTGCGTACCACAGTCATATCCTACCCGAAGCGTCTCCGTGAAGTCATAGCTGCGAAAAGAGGCCGAATCAAAAAGAGTTAATAGATAAATATTTGTTATACTATAGATAAAAAATATTTCGAGTCTCGTTTGATTTGGACTTTTAGTTTCAGAAATGTACGTCTACAAAGTTGTGCGGGAACTTAAATGACACCCTGTAGAGGTACTTAGAGACTTAAACTTATGATGGGATGTGTACCAATGAGTCGGTTCACCGGCGAGATCCTTCCATCGGCGTCGGCAGCGTCGATACCTAAACATACCTAAAAATACAATATTAAAAAAGATGGGGAAGCCAGTCGTTAGTGGAACGACTGGCATAGCCGTAAGTGGTACGACTTTCCCCAAAAATAAGAAAAAGAAAAATAGGATGGTCCCAAACGGTAGGACCGGAAAGAGAGAAGAATCCCAAGTTGTGTTATATAGAGAAGCCGCAAACGGTACGGCAGGAGGAGGGGGGAATCAGTCGACTGATAGAGAGAAAGGGGACAGTCGCAAGTGGTACGACTGGTGGGAGGAAGAAGGAAGGGGAAGCCGGCATTCCCCGAAAAAAGAAAGGGTGGTCCCAAACGGTAGGACCGGGAAGACGTACAGACGTAAGTGGTACGAATGTACAGAGAGAGAGGGAATCCCAAGTGGTGGGATGTAGAGGGGGAGAGTCGTAAGTGGTACGACTGGTAATAGGGAAATAGAAATAAAAAAGAATAATAAAAAAGTAAAAAAAAAAGGTTCGGGACAAAAAATACCAGATACCCGACGCTTTTGCCCTTCCTCCTCGTCGCTTCTTCTTCGACGTCGCTTTCGATTCGATCCATTTGATGCCTGCAATGATTCGAATCATTCTGATAGACTGCGACTCCAGCCTTACCTTTCGAATCCACTTCCTCGCTCTACTCGATGCCCCGGGCAGCATCGACCTTTCGCCTTTCCTCTTTCTTGCTCATCTTCACGTGACATGTCTACTCATGAATGTGGGTTTAACGTCGGCCTGGACGCGACACTGCAGTAGGGTTAGTACTGGCTGACGGAGCCGCACCAGTCGAGAATCCCCGACACTTTCAACACATCACATCCGAGAAGCTCGAATGAGAAACGACTGTAGCCCATCGGATCTGCAATACGAGGAATTGAGAAAAGGGATTGCAATGAATTTGACCTACCTAGTGGATCCTTGGCTACGCCGAAACCGCAGGAGATGCGGGTGACGGCCAGCCCACAGAATATGCGGGCCACGACGAGGAGCCCGCAGGTTATGCGGGGCACGACGGGCCCGCATGATATGCGGGGCAGGTCGAGGAGCCCGCAGGTTATGCGGGGCACGACGAGCCCGCAAAGTTTGTGGGCTGCTCGCAGCTCGGAGAGCTGCGAGACTAACCAATTTGCAATTGCGCCGGCTATTTATAGTGCCACTGGAGTCGGTGCGATGGTCGCAATAGAGCGCATTTGTCGAAACGTACTGCAAATCGACGCCAAATATCCATAAAATCTCTTATTTTTGAATACTCTGTGGCTTTGCGGAGGGGCGGAGTTTAGATTATTTCTTTGATAAGGCGTTTCCTTGGTGCAAATATGCTCTATCGTAACCATCTGCAAATGCGCCTCGATTTGAATAACATATTCTAAGCTCTCCCCTACTGCTTCAGATGCTCTTAAATTAGACGTTGCTCGCAAGGCCTTGATCATACGTGTTTTCTTAACAACGATATATCCTTAAACTTCAGAAGCTGTAAAATTCGTTTTCAGCACATTTTCAGCTTTATGTCAGTAGGTTTCATTCAAATTATATGATTATACATACTTTAGAAAATGTGAAATTTGCGTTGCATAACGTTTTTTTACGATCAATGATCGCACATTTTAGAAATCCGATAATTCAAAAAAGACCTCAGTCAGAATTTTATGCTTGACAACGTAAGATAAAAGATTTTGCTTTTTTTGGTCCTTAGCTCGAGTAGAGCATGGTATGATTACATCATCGGCGTTCTTGTGGTAAGGTGTCCCAAACTTTCAACATGGAGCCTCTCAATGAAGATCTTGCACACATTGTTGTAATGACGTGAGACCAACCAATCGTCGCTCAAACGCAGCGTGAATATTTCAGATTTTTTTGGTTAGTGGTTAGAGTTTTGGTGAAGGTTTTGGGCAATTCTGTGCTCTGCAAGTGAGCACTGGTAGAATGATGGTATCGAAGAACTATCCTTGGGTTTTGTTACAAACAATTATATAAGTGTATTTCTTGATTCCGTTGAATCAAGAACAACATCCAAGCTCCTCTTTTATCCATAGTTTTAACATAATTCTTTTACGCTTCATTGACACATATTTATTCTCAAATTATAATAAAAAGAAATAGAATGCATACAGTACACATAATTTAAAAAGCTAATGGCGAAAAATAAAACTTAATTCAGAAAAAAAAAGATCAGTCAATGCATGAAATATGTATCAAAAAGCAGTGCTCCAAATTGAGTTGTACACCTGTTGACTAAGTTTTAAGTAAACTTTTTAAAGTTAAAATTTAAAATTCACGAGAAGCGCAAGATTTGCATAGTTAATTGCCCGACATTATACACGTATGAATACATTTCTTAAAGTGTGGACTGTCTCATAATAATGTGGTATTGTTATCGTCGGATGAATGGGTTGATCCTCCAAGTTTGATAAGTGTATCCGCTTCACGATTCTCGCCGCTCGAGCTTTGCTCACCGGAAGCCAGTTGGATGTCCACAGTGTCTGGCTCAATTGGGACCTTTTTCGAAAGCTTCATGGAATGATGAGAAATCGAATCTCTTTGAAACTGAAATTGAATTATCATGAAAATTTAATTTCAAAAAAATGAAGATTGTAAATTTTTGCTAACCCTTGAATTGGTTGTAGTGTTCTCAACGCTTTCCTTATTATCCCGATGGATAACCGATTGGGTCCGGCGAACAAATGAACGGAGGCGGTCGCGATTCGCATAGTCGCTTTTAAAGCATGGAAACTTTTGAAGGAATGTTGTTCGGTAATCGGTCGAGCATGCGCAGAATACATAAAACTGCGAAGCATGGTTTGTGATTTCCAAAAGGTTTGCAACAGCGCGGAATATTTGATAATCCAATCGTTTTTTGAGAGTCTGAAATAGGTGGGGGCAAAATTGCATAAATTGACGGAAGCGTTTTGAAAGTACCTCGTCAATGAGCAACAAATTAATTGCAGCAGGAATGTTGCAGACAAGAGACATGAGAACGGTTCCTCCCAACATGTACATCAGAGTTTCGTCCTATAAATTATTCATTGCCCAATTTGATTATGTCTGTCAGAATGACTACTTTTTGTGTCCCTTGCTCTTTTCTTTTTGTCAATTGTTGGAACATTTTCTGTCGTTTGCGGAAAGCCACCATAATTTGAATGTTCAATACGGTCAGAATGATAATTGGAAGGAATCTGAGGAACGCCTCCCGGGTCCATTTATATATCTATAAAAAATTTGGAATATGTTCGGGCAATTTGAACGAAATACAGTACCTGCCATTGGAATGTGGTGTAAACTGGATGGTCGTCCATTGAGTAAATTGTCGCGTTGACATTTGGATCCCATCGTTGATTTCCTTTATATCTGGTTATTGCGTATGGCACATAGAAGAGAGCCGGAATCAGAAAAGCAAGCATAATTGCTCTTGTGGCTCGTTGAGGCGAATTCCACGTGCGAAAATGCATCGGGAACACAATTGATATGTATCTTTCCAATGAGAGCGCGACGACAACGTAAACTCCAGCTCCTAGGGCCCAGTTAATAACAGTAAGCATTAAGTGGCATTGATAAATTTGATAGAGACGGTATTGGTTGATAGATGAACCGTTTTTAGCAAGCATTTCCGTTGAGACGAATATGAGAACAAAAAGCATGCACAAAAGGTCGGCGACAGCTAGAGCCCGCAGATACATGTATGATACGGCTCGAAGACGTCGAGAGGCGAGAACCATCAGATTTGTGATATTACCAACAATTCCTGAAATGAAGTGGCTATGAAAAATAATGATATGGCAGTCATTACTATTCCTTTAAATATTTGATAACGTCTATTTTCGAATAGCTACCCTTTAATTTTTGGCGAAATTATGCGAAATTTTTCAAAAAAGCAGATTCAGCAACATTCTTAAATTGGAATCAAGTTCGTCTAGTGACAGATATGTCAATTCGATAAGGATCGCGATTCACTGTTGATCCCAATACTAATCCACAATATTTTGTAAAGTTTTGAAATTTGTTACAATGGGGTGGTTGTTACAATTTCTGAACTAGCGAGGGAACGCTCTAAACATATAGTACTGTTTAAATTAAAATCCACAAACATACTTAATACTATACATTTTCAATTTTTTAGAAATTTCCAGCATAAAATTTGATGTCATTGGCGGCTCAAGTAGTTCATTCACTTTTTTTTTTCAAAAACGAACACGTTTTATTTTGCACAAATAGCAGCCAATTTGCATATTTGTGTACAGTATCCCAATCTTTTTCTTTCATTGTTGCCCTCAAATAGGATAGAACAACATAGAAACAAGACATGTGCGGTTTATCAAATCTCTGGGTTCATGAAAATGAGCATTTGATGTTTACCAATTTCCAGAGAAAATAAGCAACTATCAGGTGCAAAAATAAAACAATCTTTTATTTTCTCTGACACCTGGGCTTACCAATTGCACATATACATGGTAGTACGTAACAATATGCGATGTTACCCACGGTTGCAGCAGCATTTGTGGAAGACGCGTTCATCTTCCTGAAAATCTTCTGAGAGTTATAAATAAATGAGAGAAGAAAAAAAAACAATTCAATATTAAACGATGAGTGGTCTCTTAATTTGCTTGCATTTAATTCTAACACATTGACTATAAGACATCAAAAAGCTGGACATGCTCTAGTAATGTTTGTTTAATAAAAGGAACTTTATATCCCATTTTCACTTTAAGTGAGCTGAATTTTTCATCGCGCGACTCAATGAGATTCTCCGACTAGGTGAAACATATGTGCGCTTGATATATTAAAACGCATTTTTTAAATTTGTACTTTTACAATTAGAAAATTAACGCACGCCGACTTATATTAATTTGTTTTTTGAATCACAGCTTTGGATTATATTTTTTAGATTGATTTTGAGTAATGCTTGCTTTTTCACAAAACAAAATGGAAAAAAAAGAACGGTAGATGGATGGCGGTGGAAGTGAATAATGGAGACCGTAGTCCTTTTTGAAAAAAGGGCGGGGTTTCGAGTTTGGCGTTAACCAAATATGCGGCGCCATTTTTTTTTTCGTTTCGCCACAACGTTTTCACCAGGAAATATAGCGTTTCGCGAAATGGCATTTAAAGTAACTGACAAAAGAAAATGGCAGTGAGGATCCTGCGGAAGGAAACTCGCGTTTTGGCAGCAGCTCGTTAGCATGTCTCTAGTTCTCTTCATCGGTTTTCTCCGATGGCATACGGTATGTGGTGGTGTGCTGACACCACTGATTGCGACATTTCATTGAATCTTAATTCGCGTTTTTTTTTTCTTCTGCTTCTTTTTCTTCAGCATGCAACATGCATACGCACAAAAATTTGCTCTGGCGATTTCGGTTTTCGAGCATTGTTTAAAACAGAACTCGTGGCAACTAGTTTGATTAAACTTTTTGACTGCCTCAGAAAATTTTTACAATCCGATTCGTCTTGTTTCTATTTTTGTGCATTGATCATATAAAATACAACAGAAATTTAGAAATGATTAGGATTAGCGAAGTATACCCACAAACTAAATCCAAGTGAGCTCAAAAATCTAGAAAAAAATGCTGGTTTGTAAAGCTTGGAACGAATTTCTCCACCCAGTCTAGCAAATTTAAGAAAAACAAAACTTTCGATGGAAAACTGAATTATAAGTGTGCAAGATGATATTAACAAGAAGGTCACTGAAAACCTTGAAGTAAATGAAATTATGGTAAACATTGAAGCTCTACTAATAATGAATAGTTGATTTTAGTTGTAGGGATGAACATTGAAAATCTTATTATACTCAGCTTTATAGAATAATTCGTAGAAATAAAGTTCACAATCAGAACATTTAAAAGGTAACACTGGATCTAAGAAAAAAAAAACGTAAGAGCAGCACACCAAAAATTTTCTGACATATGTGGTGGCTCTTCAGAATTACATTTTCTTTATCACCAATTGAATTTTGAGTCATTGGAGGACATATAAAAATTATTGCATATTCTTACTGTTAAAAAATATTTTCTTGGCCTGAACCCAAACAAAATTTTATAACTAATGAGGGTGTATAGACTGCAAAAATAAAATTTTGGAATTTAATTTATTGTATAATTATTTCAAAATGATAGTCTATTCAAAAAAAAACAATTCCAACCCTCCATCTGACGGCGTCTGTCCAATTTTTGGAATAGGTAATTTGACACGAACTATACAGAAATTGCCGCCGCGCTAACAATTATATAGAAGCGGGAAAATGAGAAGACGAATAAGAAAAAAGGGAGGAAGAAGAAAAGGAAAAGCAACATGGAAAAGACAAGATAAACAACGCATTTTATTTGTCAAAAAATTATAGAATTTTTAATTATGAGTATCATAACACGTATAAGGTTATCTAAATAATAACGTCATTTCCGTGGTGGATTGTTCAATTAAACATTGCCAAAAAAAATTTTTGGAATGATACATTCATTTTAAAATGGTCAGATTAAAGATTTGCCTTGCTAATTGGAAAGTGCAGGCACAAAAAAGAGTATCGATGGACTCATCGGGTATGGAATTTCATATAAAAGAAGATTCCCGGAAAAATCTTTGATACTGAACTTCAAGCTTCTTCCTTATTTCCGAGATATTTGAGAAATCGAGCAATTTAACACTACTTACCATGTGGCTAACGGCAAACTCATTAAGTCGATGAATTTCAAGAATATTCTGATTAATAAGAATGACGAGATGCGCTATTGGCAACGATGTTGAGTATTGACGAAGTGTGTGTGTATATATGATTCTGTCAGAACTGAAGAAAGGATAATAAGAGTTGAAAGAGGAGTCAACCGTGACTTTCTGCCTCACTTTTTTTGATGTCTACTAACTTATTTTACGCTTCCTTTCTTATTGTGTAAAATATATTTCCGAAAAATCAGTTCCCCTGTTGCGAATAACATGTGCAAAAATGTTCCAAATTATAATAGCAAAAAGGGCGCAAAAAAAAGAAGCTTGGCCCGGCAAAAACAATGAAGAAAGCGCTTAAAACAATTTTTAATATGTACTCTTTGCTCTTTGCTCAGAATTCTTAATTTTGTAGGCGCGAACATGATGAAATTGCTTGACAAGATGAAGATGAGAAATGAAGAATTGCTGGATTCTTTTGCCTCACAAATTTAATAGTAAAATGCGAAAATTTTGGAAAGATCACCATGATCCTTTACTTTTTTTTGCTAATTCCATTGATACAAGTATTATATGGATGTATTAATAAGTCGGCAGATTTATAATAGCGCAGGTGTTTAGTCAGAAGGATTACTGTAATTACTAATTCTTGACTCATTTTTCGTTTTATGCCAAAAAAATGACACAGTTATTGTCCAAAATATTCAAATTGGACGCAATTTTCTACAGTGATAAATTAAAGGGAGTCAAGTGTCGTAAATAATCAAGTAATGTGTTCTATTAAAGGAAGGGACCTTGTGTGCGACGTGAACTCGCCAATTGGCGAAATGCGTCACGACAGACCCCTTTTCAGTAAAATTAAAGAATCTATTTTATGAATTCCAGGAGATGAATATGAAACTGATTTTAATTATAAAGTCCCGCAAAGATTATTTCATTTGAACTGTGTGAATTATAAATAATTTAATTTTTTTATAGACTGACAAGAATAAAAAATTGATTTATTGGTTTTCATTTATTTTTATATCATAAGAAAAAAAATTAAACGAAAAATTCATGTTTTTTTAATTCTTAGAATGAGTTTATTAAAAATGTTAAAAGAGAGAAGAATTTGAAGTACTTCTAGATAAAAAATGTTAGTTTAAGCGGTAAAGTTTTTGAACAAAAACCCAATGCCCTATTTGCATGAAGCATAAAAAGCAGAGTCCAATAAAACATTGGGACCCTTTTTTTCAAGACTTGTCACATTTCAAACATGTCGACAAGTAGCTGTGAAGACGTATTGCTGTATTGGAATGAACCTTTGCGAATAGTTGAATGAAATATAGCCGGAGCACGTCAGTGCCCAAAAAATTGGCTCGATTATTATTGATCAAGATGTTTTAATATATTGCAAAGCATCAACACAAAAAAAACATGGGAAAAAAACAAAATAAGTGGCGGGAGCAGCGAATTAGCGAAAAGTGCTCGGTGAGCAATCAAAGAAGATGCAAATTCTGTGCCGGCTAAATAATTCAAAATTAACGCGAATCGTGATTCAAAATCAAACGGAAGAAATCCGTGGTATTTCTGGAAAGAATGTTTTAAAAAAAGAAACTGATGAAATTCACAAATTTTTAGTTTTCATTATATTTATCTACGAGGAATACCTTCAGCAAATATTGCGAGGTTCACAAATATACTATTATGATTTTAAAAATTATTGAGAAAATCCACAAACAGCCTTCGAGAAACGGTGATATAATGGAACAATAAATTGTGTTCATCTTCGACCACTGTAAAACCAACAATATTTTTGTGGGGGTCCTAGCATGGTGAGCCCTTTAATCAAGATTGCTCGTAAATTGCTCGTTAATCTACATTAGTATGGATGGATGTCTTGCTTTAAAGAAATAAAAGTTTTCAGTATACTTAGGTTTAAAGAACATATCTAGTCTGCCAGAAATCTATTTCAGCAAATAACACGATATAAAACACTGGACATATTATTCAGCAAACATTCAAATCTTCGTTTTTAATTTCCGGAATTTAAACATAATTGTTGAAAACCATAAATTATCTTTTTTTTCCATCTAAAAACTTAAAGCACCCACCTACCTAGATCATTCGGAAATTTAATAGGGGGTCCTTGCAACATCAAGGACCACTTGGCTTGAAACAAACAAATTATGTTAATTTCTCTCAAAACGAATGAAAAATTAAAAAGAAACAAAATTATTGAAGTTTTTTCTTTATTGTATTGATACTCGTGTAATGATAAATGGTTCAACCAATTATCCTGATTTGCCACGACCGACCATCCATTGAGCATTTTTAATTCAAAAAAAAGTTCCTTACTTATAAATCTGTCATTCCTTAGTATTCCTCATAATGTTCATAGCAAATCACTGTTTTCGAAGTCGCTTATTTTCTTCGTTTCTATACCCTAATAGAACATTTTGTATATATACATATAAATATAAATATAAATAAATATATATATATATATGTGGGTTCGCACGATATCTTCGCGGTATAATTATTTGAGCCGGGATTAGCTACACTTCATAATCTCCTCACATAAAAATCATAAATCAATAGGCACGGAGCACTAGGGTTTCCATCCGGACGATAGTAATGCGATCGACCTGTCGACGGTAAATATTTTGGAATTTCTACCGAGCACGCGTAGAATTTTTGCGATGACTCAACTCAAGTGCGAGTATCGCTTTGAAATGTGGACTTCGCAACAAAAAACAAACGTAAGAATAAACAGCACAAAATGAGACTAATTTTCGTTCGAAGATTTCGACTAAGTGGGAGGGCCCATTACGCATTCCAGAATGAAAGTAACGACGGGGAATCAAGGACGCCACTAATCGCTCGGAAGT